CGTCCCATGTGGTCGCCCCAAGCCCCCCGGCCCCTCCTTCATCGAATCCGCCGGCCGCGCCGTTCTCAAGCCCACCGGCCTCCGCTCACTCAAGCCGGCCTCCGCGTACTCTATGCCGCTATGCCGCGGAGGCCTCCGGCCTCTGCTCACTCAAGGCCGCGGTGTGCAACGCTTTTTCGTTGTGGAAGCGAAACTACTTAACTACTTTTTCCAAAAGAGGACACGACTAAAAATCAGTGGTTAAGTTGTATTTACAACACTGTTCCAGAACACTTCAACCCAAATATTCAGATGTGTGAAGCACATTTTATGGAGGACTGTTTCCTGGTTTCAAATGCCGGCTGTTCTGACTCAAAGACTGTAAGTACGTTTTTTATATTTAAAGAGTTTTTATATTTTATATATTTAAAGCGAGTTTTGTAGGGAAATGTGTTAAGAGTATAGCTTGTTGTTTGTCATTTCTCCGATCACAAATGCAGATATGGTTTTATGTTTACACGGCGCGATGCAACGCGTAAAAAGACAGTATAAGTCATTATAATCCATAATTATGTCCCCACTGGATGCAACGAATGCCTCGTTTTTAATGGGTTTTCATGTTTTTGAATCATTGCTCCGGCCTGACACGGCATCACAGTATGGTAAGGGGCGTAACATTTCCGTCACATGCTTGAGGTATTCGGCCAATCACAACACACTGGATAGCTGGCCAATCACAGCACACCTCGCTTTTTTAGAAGGATGAGCTTTGTTTCAATGCATTTCAGAAAGGTGGGGCATTGAGGAGAAACAATAATGTACAGTATGTGGAAAATAATGTGTTTTTTGAAACTTAAACCGCATAAACACATTTCATTACACCAAATACACAAAATAATGTTCTTTTTAGCAACATCATATGACCCCTTTTTTAAGAATCTTGTTCAATGAATTAAGTAAACAATCAAACGTGATGGAATGAGATCCAGGGCCAGGCAGAAGAGTAATGACAGATCAATTTTAAAACAAGGAATATTAAATGTATTAAATAAAACTTAGTGATACAATAAAGTAAATAAACAAAATTAAGATTGTATTCAATAATTTGTACTAAAGCAGAGTACTCCAAATTTTTATATCTAAGGGATGAAGTAGGCCTAGTGAATATTAGAAGAAGAGCCCTAAATAGCTATAAGCAGAATGCGAGCAGAGGGGAAAAGCAGAGTAAAGAGCAAAAGAGTAAAGAATCAGAGTAGGCACAAGTATTATATATGCAGGAAACCTACATCCTCCCAAACTGGTGTTTATGTCTAATAAGAAAAGGTCAAACAGACTTATCCATTATGTCACTCATCCATTGTTTCATATGTTTTCCTAATGACTATAGGTTAGGTTAGGCTCAGTCATCGTGACCAGTCAAATGTTGTTGCGGTTAAATATAGACATGGTTTTCACACCTTTAGAACAAATACAGCAAAACAAGCAGTTTCAAGTATCATATCTTAAATTACAAAAACACAGTTTCTGGAAAAGAACATCTAGCAGCCTACTGTTAACGACTAATTCTGAGAAACATTATTACTTAGGCAGTTGTTGAAAGATGTTCAATATCTAACAAAACACCAGTAAAAAAAAAATATATATATATCTTTCATACATATATAAAATGAGTATAACATACATATTTTGGAGAATACTACAAATATTACATATGAACAAAAAACTAAATAAAATATAAACATAAATGAGTAACAGTAATGAATTAGTAATTACTTGAATGTGAATATATGATGATGATGATTAAAATAAGGAGCATAACTCAAGAAGTAATAAATCATAAATGAATGGATATGAAAATCAAGGAAAAATATAACAACACTGATTATTTGGATACACCAAAACGAGAAGATTTTCGCGAACAATAATATACCAGTCCATTACCCATAATTAAGTATTTTAGCCAGAAGCAACGGTTTGAAGTTAAAGGGGTCATATGATGCTATTTCAATTTTTCCTTTCTCTTTGGAGTGTTACAAGCTCTTGGTGCATAACGAAGATCTGTACCCATAATTAAGTATTTTAGCCAGAAGCAACGGTTTGAAGTTAAAGGGGTCATATGATGCTATTTCAATTTTTCCTTTCTCTTTGGAGTGTTACAAGCTCTTGGTGCATAACGAAGATCTGTAAAGTTGCAAAGACTAAAGTCTCCAATCCAAAGAG